AGATCTCTTCTGACCCCTTGTCCACAATGAAAATTGCAGATTCTAACATACCTTGCTAATAATTCTATGGCCCGGCTGCCAATCAGAGAGGTCGTAACTATCACAAGTGTAAACAGAAATGACTAAATAAACATGTCCATAACATCACATATCACTTTGACTTATTTCATGGAATATATCAAAGAACCTTTCAGAAGTTATTCAAGTGAATAAGGAATTTTTCAAGACGTTCCATTATGGTCATACCATAAAGGAGACCCGACAAAGAGAGACATATACTAGTAATAGGTCACTTGATTCTGATTCATCTTGATAGATATAATTACCATGGTTAGAAAGAAACATAGTATACTGTGTATCTATCCAGATACCATTAGCCTTCTACCAACCAATTATGTCCTCTATTCCTAAGCGTTCAAGTTGGCCAGATATCAATCAAAGCTGACCAGCTAAATGAAACTGGTGACAGAGGTAGCAATAACTGCCTAAGTGAAGTACCTCTGCCGGATTAGTCGGACATTGAGAAGGACAATCACATTTGAAATTAGACATTGAGATATCTTACATCAAAAATACTGTCATACTCTTCCAGAAGAGTTGTGATGATGGCCTGAGCGTTATTAGCTGCATTTGAAGCAGCAAGAAGCTGAGCAGAATTGTCACCATTAGCGTCAAAGTCATCCTCCAACTCACATTCGCCAGCTAATAAGGGGCGCAAAAGCAAGGGTGCCATGCATGCAGCAACAGCAGAAGGAGTCATCCGATTCTCATGAGAATGAGAAGAGACTGTATGCATCATCTTCAGAATCCTGTGAAGAACGCCAACATAAAGTAGTAAAATGAAATCAAAATTAGCCACCATAAAGATTGAGTTGGAAACTAAGTAGCTGTGAAGTGTGCATCTACTTTTCAATCCCACAGCTAATAATATCAGTTTCAGATAAGTCGACCATTACTGCAAGCCCCAGTGTAAAGATAATAGGAGGTAAACATTGGTTTCATTTATACTAATCTTTCACCAGGTTCCAACAATGTATAAAACTGCCGAAGCCATTGTCAAATGGCTCATTTCCACATAATTGCCCCTATCTCTCAAAAAGTTAAGCTTTGTGTGATGTCTGACAATCAGCAAACTGAGATACTCAACTTTCACATGAGATGACAAAAAATCCAAGATGAAGAAGCTTTAGCTTTGTTTCAGGACTACCACAACTCCAGGTTTGAGAGTATTTAGTTGCAATATATGGCACTACCACAGTCACAGAGAACATGCGTGATGGAACCAATTATTAATTTCTTGACAGAAATTTGACATAGTCAAAAAGTATTCTAATACCTATTTGTAATACTATTGGCTCGATATATATTCAGGACAAAAAATGTAGAACATTTATATACTAATGATCAAGAGATAAATTCAAAAGTATTTGTCGAGACACAAAACAAATGAAATTAATTTGAGATTTTCCACATCTCAGCAGATAACAAGGAATTTATCATAGCCAATGAACTATGACAACCTAAAACTGGAGAAAGAGAACTTTCAGAGAGTTTTACCTTTGTAACAACCTCCGGTTTGGTTCAGGAAATGTTTCTGATATGACAGAATGCATAGCAGATATCCGAGCTTCTTTCCCATCGATTTCTTATTCAATAGGGAGATAAAAATATCAATAAATTGTGATGCACATTGGATACTAGTACAATGATTACATACCAAAATAAATGTATTAGATAAAAGGATGGGAAGTTAAATCACAGATGACAAAAAACAAAGGTTGGTTCTAACATAAAGTACCGACAAATGAGCACGCACAGACTTAAATGACCCCTGTCGACACAACATAGCATTTGGAGTAAAAGTTTGACTTCTTCGATAACACCAAAAACGTCCAACTGAGTTTGGATCTGATACCCAAACACATATTAGCTAGATATGATAAACAATCAACTCACTATAGGCATCCAGCAATGCAGAGCAGCAAGATGCAGGAACTGGGGAGGAAGGAAGCTCCCTCAAGACATGCTGCAGACAGAAAGAAAACCGAGGTGAGTACAGAACTCAATCCGTTTATCCAACAAGATTCAATTTACCAACTAGTACCTTTACACAATCACCAACAACATGAGCATCCTCATCTGCCTCAAATTCATTTTTACCTAAAAATGGATTGTGATACATTAAGAGTCCATGTCTAAAAAACAGTTCAATCGGAAACGCAGAATACCTACAGTTCCAGGAGAAACTCTAGTGAAGTCGATCTTCAGAAACCAAAGGTTCATGGAGAGACGTTTGAAATTTATTGAAGTCACAAGTACCTTGTTCATAATCTTGAACTCTATGATCAACCTCCTCAACATCAGCTGACTGTCTCAGAATCCCCTCCACTTTAATTCCTATGATATAAGATCAAAGGTAACACAACAATTGTTATACCTAAGAGACTGAAGAGCAGTAAGAACAATGAAGGACCAAGAAACTTACAAAGACAACGAAATAGATGCAAAAATCACAAATATCAATAAACAAGGAAACGAGATTCTAATGCCAAGTAACTATAATTCAGTTTTACTACCACCAACCATTGCATCACAAAGGTCGGGGTTGCAGATTGTGAATCAAATATTTTCACATATTATCTAGTAACTATAATTCAGTTTTCCTACCCCCCAAACACCCAACTATTATTCATATATACTGTTAAGGGCCCTATACTCTACAAAAAATAATAACCACTCCCCTGCAAATTCTGAATCCACTTTCTTTTTGTATATAGACTTCACTCCAATTTTTCCAGAAACAGGTTATTATTTGTCCTACTTAGGAAGTTATTTAGAAGAAGTTAGCAGTATTTTCCATCAGAAAAGTAGCTAGCTGTACAGTTGAAGAAAGACAGTTATGAGGAGGCAGAGCACATGCAACTAAGACTCACCATACTTCTCAAGAAATTGAAGAGCTTTCTCAAGAAAAGATGGACTACCATCAATATCTTCAAGAGCAAGCAAAATAGGTCTTCCGACAACTAAAGATTTCACAGGGCGCTTATCTCTCCCTGAAAACCAAGGGCAGAAAAGTTGGCTAGTGCATATGAAACACCAGGACAAGAATATTCATAAATAATTGGATATAGATCATATATAACAGGAAAAGTGATTGATTTGGAGACTTGTTATGGAGTACGAACATTGATGGAAAGAGCCATCAACAGGATGAGTATTGTCACTTCGAAAAATCCCATTATGCCCCATAACAAGAGCGGCACTTGGTGCTTGTGCAAGGGCAAGTTCAAGAGCAGTCTTCCAGTCATACAGATCCTCAGAAGTTTCGGCCTGCAAATGCCGCAAATAACCATTTTAATTTAACTGTTGAGGGAGATATTGCTCTTGTTCCCATACAAAGTTCACGGAAAGGCCAGCAGATAATAAGCAACACTATAACTTGTTTTAGAGGATAAATCTAGGCTAGGGTGGATTTGGAAGAAGGGACATGGAAGCCAGCACTTACCTTAAGAGTAAAAGCTCGTCCATCCCGGCCATCGGGAAACAAAACAGTCAAAAACTTTTTATCTTCTCTTACAACCACACTGTAAAAAAATGAAATCATATACAAGCCAAACAATGAAGTCCCAGAACACAGAAGGTTATCAGGCATACCTCCCAGAATTATTTAAATCTATTCCTCCTAAAGTTAAGTTCACTTCACCGCCTTTTTGTGGTAAGGCACTCTGCAGGAAAGAAGGAAAAAAATATGAGTAACAGCTGCAACGATTTGCTCATGCATAAATTACTTCAAATGTCCGTTAGCAGCAGACTGGGCACATAGACCAAACTACCAGCACCTCACTAAGAAAATTAAAATATAATATTTGAGAATAATAATACACCTAGAGCATAATCATAAAACAAGGAACTCACTAATGCGAATCTTTCACTACCAGGTGCAATCAACATAAAGAACTGCGATAAGATAATCAAATGTCCATAATTGACCAAAACCAATAGTAGTGTTTTGATCCTCGATAGGTATGAAGACCAAGGGGCAAAGTACCATCCAAAGGATGAAGAAACTAGCAGGGAACCTTGAAGTGGCGAAGATTAAGCTAAACACTTACCAAAGTAAAGAATAGAACTACAAGTAGACAAAGTAAAGACATTTAACAAGGATAAACTAACCGGGTCATTCTTAAAGAAAACCAAGGATGTGCGTGTGAGGATAAACCACCGCTTCTTCCATGATTTCCAACCTAGTCCTGCAGGAATTCAATACTAGCTGTCAGCACCGGAGAAGACTTTCCTTTTCTCAAGTCAGAAGCGAATATATATACTATACATACCCTTCTGTTTGGGAAATAAGGAGGGTGAATATTTTGAAGGGACGCAAGTGGTGATGTCGAACATTGATAGAGAATAAAGATGGTGAAAAATAGAATAAAATAATTAAGTAGATCTAAAGTGAATCCCCCATTCAAGGGGGGTTTACACCCTATAGCAGATGCCTTGTTCACTATTACAGCAGGTAAGAGAAGAGAGACAGAAGTTGAGTTGTAAACTACAGCTCAGCTTCCTACCTTATTAGAGTTTCTTTTTCTTCCTTATTATATGTTTCACTTCTTAAGGAGGGCCTGCTATTATAATTTCTGGAGATGATATTTGCTCCAAAGTTCAAACGGGGAAGTATGAGTACCATTACCTCCCTTTCTTAGAAAATGATTATTTCCCAGAGCGCATCAACAGTGTACCCTGGTTTTAGGGTGCATACATAAATTTGCAAATTTTGACAAATGGAATTGTAATTCAACTTTACATTCGTCTTTTACAGAATAATAATGATATCCTTACAAAAGCTTATATAGATGTTTATATATCGGTTGGTTTAAGGTACACAAATGACACTAGTTAAATTTACAAACATCGTGACATTACGTACGTTGCCAATATCCAGGGTGTACAGTAACCCTGTTATTATTTCCTATAGATAAAAGGCCCCGAACAAATTAATGAAATAAGCAGAATTTTGGATTTCAAGTCCGAGAATAATTATCTCTTTTCTAGGGTTTCAGGGCCTCAAAATAAGTCAACGAGTGGGAGTATCAAAGGAAATCTGGATAAAATTGCAACAAAATTCTGAACATAAGACTCATAACACGCCCCCTATTACTATTGAACTAGCCAAATAAGAGAAGGTGATGGAGGTCCCCCTCCGCCCTCTTTAAATACTATATATTGTAAATTAAGGAATAATCTCAGTTCCTCAAGCTCCAGAAGCCCCCTTCTCCCCTTCCCACACCAAACAGAATGCTATCCCACCCGAAAAATCAGTGGAAACTGAATCAAACAAGTTCCTAACACAAGAACCAGGATCCACAAGAATAAGGTTTAAGCAAGTACAACAGATATAAGGGAGTCTGTGGGAGTTTACATGAACTCAACTGGACTAGAGAGAACATTTTGCTTTCAAACAAACGAGTGAATCGTCAAATTGATAAGGTTCAGGTTGATGATTCTACAACTGTACATATAATTTTGGGCAAATTTCTACTCAGTCATTACTGATTCCCATCCAGCTAATTGTTCCGTCTTGTGCTTTAGAGCAGTTGCACAATGTTCAGATACAAAAAATAGAAAAGTAATCTTCAACACAACTGCTGAACTAAAACTACTAGGGAAGTTTTACAGCACTGACTAGGGAAGAGATAAATCTAGAATCAACTGTTCACAAGGAAGAGCAGTAACCAACCTTTCGAGGAAATGAACAGTGGTCCGCTTTTAAAAACCTGTTAAAGAATTGTGTCGAATTAGAACACATAAATGTTGAACACAGGTGAACAAACATAAATGGAGAAGGCAGTTTGAGTTTAACCCCCAAAAAATGACACCAACACTGCATTTGATCAGAACAATTGGCAAATAAAACTCAATTAACTGTTTCTTCTGTAAATTTGGAAAGTTGAATATTATTTAAGCCAACCGTGAACATTTGGAGTTGGAACTTTCAGTAAGGATTCCAGGTGGAAAAATAGTGTTCTCCTGTAGCACTACAGGAAACGTGAAGAGGGGAATTGCCATTTATTTATCGCAAGGTCACGTTATGCTTTATGCACCTACATCTACTATATATGTCTCGACAATCTCAAGGATATTAGCAGCCACCCAGGTCCCCAATCACTTCAAATATGAACTAAACCAGACAGACACATGCGATCAGAAGGAACCTGTTACTATGTTGATTTTGTTTTTCAGACCGATTCATTCAGTAAACCATTAGAGCTTAACCACTCTGACACAAGAAGCAAGAGAATGCTGTCTCATTGATGCAATGAATGAAACAGGCTTCACTAGGTACAACTTAGGGAGTAAAGATTAAACACAATATTTTAATTCAAACCCAGAATCATCCAACAGAACCACTCTAAAAATAGAGCAATCCAGCAATTGAGCCAACAGGCTGACGTGGGGTGCCCAAAGCCACAAAATGAATGTCAGTTGTTCAACAATGTCCATTGGCATCTCTAATTTCTTAACATCATCCAATTGAGTAAGGAAACAAGTTAAAGGAAAATGCAGTCCACGTAGTGAGTTCCAAACTTAGCCAAGAACAGTAATAAATAAATAAAAAAGGAATTGTTTTACTTCCAGTACTTAACCCCTAGAAATGAACACAGACACTAGGCATTGAACCTGGTATGCATCATCATGATCAAGATCCAAATAAATTCAAGCCAAATTCGAGTCTGTCTGATCAAGAGCAGGGGGGGAAGAAAATGCAGTACCGTGTTAGAAGTAGCAGGTCTAGAACGGTCAAGAAAGGCAGCTGAAGAAGCCGACATTGACACAGTTTCCGGGGGATCAACGACGCCGGCACGGGACATTAGTGTGTTCAACTCCTCCGAACCGAGCAGCCCATTGCTGGCCGACTCGGCCGGGCAGATCGGGAAGGGGATCTACAGTTCACACGAACCAGGCGATCGGAATCAAATATGGGCAATCGCCACAAGCAAGTGATGATAAGGATTTCTTTCCTTGTTTACTCCTTTGCCTTCCCTTTTCCCGCGGTTAGGGTTTCCGAAAGCGACCAAGGAATGACAATAACTCCCAAGCTCTAGGTTTCTTTCTACTCTAAACGAGCCCAGACAAATTTGCTGCGGCACTTTCTCGTGGTAGTTCTCTGGTGAGGTTGGGGCCTCCGTGAGAGAGAGAGAGAGAGAGAGAGAGAGAGAGAGAGAGAGAGAGAGAGCAAATTGCGATGGATGGATTAGGTGGGTGGATGGAGTAGTGGTTGTCTGTCTCTCAGTAGTATATTACTCTCTCCCGCTGTTCGTCAGTTTGCGGGAGAAGGGAAGTGAGAAAGTGGGGGCAATGAAGGGAGAGAGGGAGAGGGGACTTTGCTTTCCACCTACTTCTCTCTCACCTTGATAGCAGTCGCTCGCAGGCAGACAGGCAGTAATTAAAAACTGAAAAATTGTGAAAGAAGAGGAGGAGGAAGAAGAAGAAGAAGAAGAACTGCGAGAGAGGAGGAGAGGGGATTGTCAATTTGTCATGGATTGCAAACTAATGTAATAAGGTCTAATTGTCTGCGGTCACTCCCAGTCAAGTCCGAGTCTTGTTGGCATCAACGACGGCCACGTGTATGGGGCAGGGCATCTTTTTGTGTATTTGGCTGGTTGTCAGCGATACTTTTTGGCGGGATTTTATTTTCATCTACCTCGCATTAACCTCAAAACCAGATGGCATTGGACCTCTTGCATTCCAATTGCAACTTGAAATGTGGGTGAAACCCGTGCAATTATATTCGCAATTTAAAGTGTAGAATCGTACGGTCTCCCCGTTTCTAGGATAGGAAAACGTTTCAAATCACTAATAAAATAGTTTTACACTCAAAATCAGTAAAAAGCGTAAGTAGAATCGTTAAAATCGGTGAAAACGGATAAAAATGTGTTCTCAACCCTTTTTAACGATTCCAAGCAAATGAGAAACTGTTTCAATCAAAACGACGTTGTTTTAGTCTTTCGGACAAAAAAAAGTAAGGGGTGGCTATCGGGTTGTGGCTTCCAATCGATTCCCCTGCAATCCCTAAATCTCTCCGTCTCCACTCTCCAAAACCCACCCTTCTCGGCGAACAACCCACCGTCGTCGCTGCACGGCAGGCCTTCCAGCGAAGTATCAGTCGTCGTCGCCTTCCACCGAAGCTCCAGCACCTGTCGCACTCGCCAGCTCTATCACTAGTCGCACTCGTTTCGTCTCTCGTTGCCACTCGCCGACGCCACACCAGGTAATCACTTGTTGTCTCTTCCTTGTCCTATGCTCCTAGCAACTGTTATTTCTGGGTGCTGGGTATATTATATTTCGTGGATTTAATTTCAATTCTGGAAAGTGGAAACAAACCGTTCAATTTTCTACTTTGTTTGCTGGAAACAAACAGTCCAATTTGAGGATGTTTCCTACTTAGGGTTTCAGTTTCCATTGCAACTTCATTGGGGTTTAAGGGAGTTTTGTGCTTGTTCGGATTCACCAAAATATGTTTGTTCGTATGTAATGATTTTGTGATTTTGTGATATACAGCCTGTTGAGATGGTTTGAGCAAGTTGAGATTTCGTGATTTACAATCCTTATTCTTTATTTTATGCAGGATTTGCAATTTCAAGTATGTCGAGTGGAGGTACTAGTGCAAGCAATACTGTATCCAATTCTAGAGCGAAGAGAAAAAATGTACAAGGCAATCGTCTAGACCCCGGTTGGCAGCATGGTAAAGATGTACTCGATACCGGGCAGAAAGTGAGATGCAAGTATTGTGACAAGGAAGTATTTGGTATATCTCACTTCAAACATCATCTTGCAGGAACAAGAAAGGACTATGTCGCTTGTGTTAGTGTTCCCGCTGAAGTTAGAGCAAAAAAACTAAAGCTACTTAGTGCAACTGAAGAAGGGAATACGACTAAGGCAAGGAAGTTACATTATCTCAGTTTTACTCGTGATGGAGAGGGTAATGAAGCTAGTGGCACTGGAACTGCTGGCAAACGGAAAACAATTACTACAGTTTTGAAGAAAGAACTCCCGAAAAAGGCTTGCAAGACCATATCAAACTAGTGGTATGAATATTTTATTCAATTCAACTAGATGCGATACCTATCACCAAATGTGGGAAGATGTAGCTCGTCATGGTTTTAAGGGTCCTTCATATGATGAGGTTAGGGAGACTCTGCTAAAAGAGGAAATGCAGGAAGTGGAGAATAAATTGGGGATCTTCAAAGCTTGATGGAAGGTCGTGGGTTGCATGATAATGTATGATGGATGAACGGATAAGAAACAGCGAGTTCTTTGTAACTTTTTTGGTTAATAGTCCTCGTGAAACTGTATTTCTTGAAGCTGTTGACACTACTAATTTTTTGAAGACCACTGAAAAGGTGTTTGAGATGTTAGATGGAGTTGTTGAGAAGGTTGGGGAAGAGAATGTTGTCCAAGTTGTGACACATAATGCTTCAGCTTATAAGACAAGTGGACAAATGTTGATGGAAAAAGGAAACATTTATTTTGGACACATTGTGTTGCTCATTGCTTGGATTTGATGCTAGAGGATCTTGCGAAGCATATTAAGGTGAACGCGAACACAATTTCCAATGGTAATAAGATCACCAATTTTATTTATTCAAGAACAATGTTGATTGTCATGAGGGAGTTCACTAAAGGGAAAGATTTGATTAGACCTGCTGTTACAAGATTTGCTACATCATATTTGACATTGGAAGCTCTTAATGACAATAAAGGTTCTTTGATGACAATGTTTTCTTCTGGGAAGTGGAGGAAGAGTAACTATTCTAAACTTCGTGAAGGAAAATGTCACACCCTCTCCCTCTCAAGTTACTTGACACGTATGTTTGTAACTTGACGATGTAAATATTGATTAGGGGTGGAATTAACTCAAAATTTTAATGAAGAAATTTATGACTAGATGGTAGAGAATTCTAAAATTAAGTGATTGTACTACTATATGAAAAATTAAAAATTAAATGAATGATGATCATCGATTAAACTATGTTGCTCATGTTTATATCCCCATATGCATTCATAGATTGGAAATGAAGTTAACTAAATTGTGATATCATTTTGAGAAGAGTGGGCTTCTTAGTAGCCTCCACTTAACCGAAAAAGAGGACTAACATTTCCCTTTGTATGTGTGTCCTATTCTCCCATTTATTGCTAAGATGGATTTAAATAAGGTAAGGAAGCAATTTCCCCTGCCTCCACCATACTCCTTCTGAAAGTCCAATTGCCAAACTTCCTCTAAACCCCCACGTGGGTAGCTTGCATGTAGTGGTGAATTAATTAGTTGGGGGAAAGGGAACAAGTGTATGGAATAGGATAGGGAAGAAGGCTAACAATTACCACCATTTCTTTTAGTTTTCGCGCAGGGGGGGGGGATAATGTTCATAGGGAGGTAATCATTTTGAGAACAAAAACCGGCACCCTCAGTTCTTGGTTTGGTTTGGTGGCTATCTTAGTTAGAGAGAGGATCGAGAATGAAGTTGGATATTCCTTCCTAAAAACAAAATCCTTAACAAGTGTTAAACTTCCATACTTGAAATCTGAGACTTGCATGGTAGGATTAGCAAGGGGACACCAATTCACAAGGAAGAGAGCATGGAGAGTCGCCAAGGGAAAATAAGAATTCGATGTGAGTAAATCTCATCCCAATGCTCATATTAATACAAATATGGTATCCGAGTCATGAAGTGACTCGAGTACAGGGTAAGTTAGTACTAATTAATCCGTGTGATATCATATTGTTGTGATATGAGAATGGATGATGACATGGATGAGCGCGTAATTATTTGAAGGATCATGTTAGTATGTGACATGGTATTGTATAATGATGTTCGGTATGATATATGAGCTATGATTATGTGATATAAAACTGGATATCGGAAGTGTACGATAGGAAAGATACTTTGCCTAGTACGAAATTGTATGATTGGAATCTGGAAATGAACTGCAAGGCTTATGAATGAGAAAGTGCAAGAGATGGTTAAAATTATATTATCTATATATAAAAGCGAAATGGATTGGCCTGAAAATGGCATACATGAAAATGTTATTGCATGGTCACCTAAATCGAACATAATGATTGGCTTGTTGTACACTCAACACAAGATATGGGAAAAGGGAGAACATGGTATGATGACATCGGACGGTGATTCATTCCGTAGTATGTGAAATGACGAGACTGGGCTGGGTACGTCCCGCAGTGGTATAATGGCACCGGGTTGAGATACATTCCGCGATGATATGTTTTATTGGAACCAATGGTAATCCTTATTCCTATATCTTGGAAGAGTGTATGATTTGGCAAGCTAATGAAATAAAAGCCACTGAATCAACCTAACTATGCATGTGATTAAATCCTTGTATAAAGATTACCTATGACGAGGTTATGTGATGACTTCCTCTTATGTGATATATGAACTAGGCATGTGGATGATATAGTTATGTGATAGTTTTCCATGATATTCGTTATATTGATATGATATGGGAGTGCATGATGAAATGAATTGATGTTTGTGTTATTGAATGAAATCTCTTGTATCATTGTGTTTAGGTGATGTGGTATATGACATGTGTTATGAGACCATGGCTGAATGTGACTATGTATCATCGGTTGTTAGCATATGGTAAGTGATATGAATGGGTTATGGATGATAGGAGAAGTACTTCGGGGCACAGCATCACTCATTACTAGTTTGGTATTGATGGTTGTATTAGGTTATTATTTACTCATTGAGTGACGTCTCACCCCGTCAATATTTTCCCCAGATCAATAGCTAAAATGGGTGAAGGCCATGGGACGAAGCAAGTTTGAGTTCGTTATCGACGAGGTGGGCGGAAGGCTGAACTCTCCATAATGTTTTTATGGGACATATGAAGATGGGGTTTTCCCAAAATTTTATTATGGATCAAGAGTTTAACGATTTTGGTAAATAGCTGATGATGTGCACATATTTTAAATGGTTTAAATGGTTTAAAAGGAGAAAAGTAGTTGGGTGTTACATTTGTGGTATCATAGTTGGGATATGATCCTACGGGATATCACCGGCTTTGATAAAGTAGTATTGCATAGTCTTTAAGAGATTTCCATAGTTTTAAATCCAATTTTGCATTATGAGTCAAATATGGACCCGAATCCAAATCGGTTTTTTATTCAGTCTATGTGGAGTTCAATCAAGGAGAAGCAAAAGAAATCTCCCCGTCACCTCTACGGGAAGGATCACAAAGATCTCCGACAACATCAAGCTACATCCCAGGCATAAGTATATAGGGTGATAGTATTAAGTATATGAAGAGTGAATATAGGATTATACTCGTATGCTTATATGCTTATATGGTATAAGGATCAAGAAAAGAAGAATAACAAAATGTTTATATGGATATATGAAATTATAATGGGAGGGTGATGTTAAGACGACGTGCTGATGTAGTTGGATGCTTGATTGACTATATAGTGGTCTATGAAGCAATACAGTGAAATGACTTCATGATAGTGTAATATCTATATCGGTTTTAAATTAAATTTCGAGGACGGAATTTGTTTAGGAGAGAGGAATTGTCATACCCTCTCCCTCTCAAGTTACTTGAGACGTATGTTTGTAACTTGACGATGTAAATATTGATTAGGAGTGGAATTAACTCGGAATGTCAACGAAGAAATTTATGACTAGATGATAGAGAATTCTAAAATTAAGTGATCATACTACTATATGAAAAATTAAAAATTAAATAAATGATGCTCATCGATTAAACTATGATGTCTCATGTTTATATCCCCATATGCATTCATAGATTGGAAATGAAGTTGACTAAATTGTGATATCCTTTGAGAAGAGTGGGCTTCTTAGTAGCCCCCACTTAACTAAAAAGGGTTAACAATTCCCTTTGTGTGCGTGTCTTATTCTCCCATTTATTGCTGAGATGGATTGAAATAAGGAAGGTATCAATTTCCCCTGCCTCCACCTCACTCCTTCTAACAGTCCTATTGCCAAACTTCCTCTAAACCCTCCACGTGGGTAGCTTGCATGTAGTGGTGAATTAATTAGTTGGGGGAAAGGGAACAAGTGTATGGATTAGAATAAGGAAGAAGGCTAGCTATCACCACCATTCCTTTTAGTTTCTGAGGAGGGGGGGGGGGGGGTTGATAATGTTTACAGAAGGTAACCATTTTGAGAACAAAAACCGCCACCCTTAGTTCTTGCTTTGGTTTGGTGGCTATCTTAGTTAGAAAGAGGATCCAGAATGAAGTTGGATATTTCTTCCTAGAAACAAAACCCAAAGAAGTTAGCAGCTCTGTTTCGCCTCCTAAGATCATGATCTGCCATAACAAGTGTTAAACTTCCATACTTGAAATATGAGACTTGGATGGTAGGATTAGCAAGAGGACACCAATTCACAAGGAAGGGAGCATGGAGAGTCGCCAAGGGAAAATAAAAATTCGAGGTGAGTAAATCTTATCCTAATGCTTATATTAATACGAATATGGTATTTGAGTCATGAAGTGACTCGAGTACAAGGTAAGTTAGTACTAATTAATCCGTGTGATATCATATTGTTGTGGTATGAGAATGGATGATGACATGGATGAGTGCGTAATTATTTGAAGGATCTTGTTAGTATGTGACATGGTGTTGTATAGTGTATTGTATAATGGTTTTCAGTATGATATATGAGCTATGACTATGTGATATAAAATTGGATATCATAAGTGTATGATAGACAAGATACTTTGCCTAGTACGAAAGTGTATGGTTGGAATATGGAAATGGCCTACAAGGCTTATGAATGAGAAAGTGCAGGAGACGGTTAAAAGTATATTATCTATATATAAAATGGAAATGGATTGGCCTTAATGGTATACATGAAAATGTTATTGGCGGTTGGAATGACCAAACTGGTCCAACTACCATAGGCTGAACTGATGTAATGGTTGAGAAACTTCATACGAACCATTGTAATGGTTGGGTTGTAACCACCCATACGAAGAGTTGTCTCCCTTCATACGCACCCCTTCATTCTCTATAAATAACACATATCCCCTCTTATTTTTATATGTTTTCCCCTAACAAAAACTAAATCAAAATTTATTTTTTCTGCATTGTTTTCAAAAGAGAAAATCGAGTCAAGTGTGGTTCTCGCCGCTTTGTTGCCTTCGATGGTTTCTGAGGTTTGAGGTATCGCTACGCCTGGAAGGTACGTCATTTCTATCCTGTGATAAATCATTTTGTAACCTCAATCCCTAATTCTATTCGTACAAACCTTAATCCCCAAATATCAAACCCGATAGAACCTTGTTTCTATCATTTGGTATCAGAGCCTGGTTTCGTGAGCGTGTTCGTCACAACTCTCAATCAGGGATGGATACGTATATGGAGAATTTGTGCCTAGGGTTACTAAATTGGTAACCTCAACATTCATTCAAGTGTTCGTCCTCTTGTCGGGGTTTAGGAGAGCACATGTAGTGTATTCCTCGGGCATCATAACAATCTGTGGAAAACTCCCATTGGAGAACGAGAATTGGTGGATGCTTTTTGAGACGAAGATCAAGATCATGTCGGATTTTGATACCCATGAATTTGACGTTTGGTTGAGGTACGACCTGCTCACCATTGAAATTCGCAAGAGCAAATCTTCATCGGCAGCAGCAGCGAGAAGCACGCAGCTCGCTGAACCCGCTGCCATTCTGCTGTCATTGACCATCGCATCGGGGGAAGAAGATTTGTGAAGAGAAGGCAGCGAGCGAGCCGCCGCCGCAGGAGGATACAACATGAGATCTCGATGAGGCGGAGGTGGAGCGACCAAGTGAATCTGCGTCGCCGGAGGACGACATGCAGGAGCCGACGACCGAGGAGGAGGAAGCTGCGGCGGTTGATGCAGCGAAGAACGAGGCAAAAGACAACACAAACGGGCATCACCCTTGCTAACCGCCTCGATAGTCGCAGGAGGTCGAGAAAGTCTTACATTGCTGGAGGAGCTATGCACCGCGACCTTTGAAGGAAACAACACGGAGGAAGACGAAGAAAAGAAACCGGTGATGGGGTACCACGGGTGGAGCTTGTCGTCCATCCTTCTGGTCGAGGGCTCGCTGTCGGAGAATGTAACGAAGAAGGAGAAGAAGAAGGATGGTGCATCGGGTCGCTGGGATTCCTCTTCTGTGGCGCGAGTCGTCCAGGTGGCATTGGTGCCGGACGATCGTTCGACGGTGGCCCCCGTGGCGCTGTTGGAGGTGGATTTGCCGGCGAAGAAAAAGGAGGAGGGCGACGCGGCTTCTGTTTCGCAAACCATGGGTCGCCAACCCTAGGGCGAGCTACCCTGCAATCACTTCTGGTGGGCTGTGAGGATGTGAGTGCCGCAGAGTTTGATGGGATGTTGCATGGGCCGCCGTTTGGGCTAGCAGCAGCAACAGAGGAGGTAAAGCAGGCCGAGCAAGCACTTGAATATGGGTCGAAGACAGACCTGCGGAGCGGACCAAGTCTGAGAGCAAAGTGGGCCGAGCTTGTTCGTGGGCTGAGCCTTCAGAAATGGATTGGGAAAAAAGAAGTGGGCTAGAAGGAATAGAAAGTGGGCTTTCAAGGGAGCATGGGCCAAATGCAATTGGAGAAATTTATGGGCTAGCTCCAAGAAATATTTTTAAAAGCCTTGATAAGTTGGTACTTAATGATGGGTTCTTACACCAGCAAGTACATTTTGATTCATAGAGCGGGATGCCAACAAAAGAAGGGCTATCGGTGTTTGACCTTGCCACATAAGCGAATAGTCGGCGCATGGAAAGGAGTTTCAAAGAGTGGGGCCAACAAGAGGAGATTGGTACAAGAGGCCCAAGTGCAGAGTTGGCACATGATTGGAGGAAAATAAAGAGCAAGACATGGAGGAGCCAAGGCGCAGGTTGCACTGCCAATGTGGAGAAGTGGGACGAGTCGGTCAACCTTGAGGGCAAGGTTGGTCTCAAGGGGGAGGGGATGATAAAAATCCAATTTTCGGGATTTATCATAATTACAATTATTAGGATTTATTTAGATATGGTTAGTAGTATTTGAGTCATATTAGGATAGTCTATTAGGTTTTTACAGTCTTTAGCTATAAATATGTATTTTGGGTCTTTGGTTCGATTAAGCCAAAATTAGTAAAAGAATTATATTTCCAAACCCTAAGTTCTCCCTATCTCCTAATTTCTATTATTTCCTAGTCCAAGGCTTCGCCCGATCTTTATTCTGTTCTTCTTCTCCTAATTCCAACCTCAATCCCTAATTTTGTTAGTATAAACCCTAATCCCCAAATATCAAACCTCATAGAACCTTGTTTCTATCATATATGCATTTATGATTGATGGGGAGTAGTACCTTGGAAATCATCCACGTTGAACTGTATATAGAACAACTCTAAGACCGGTGAAGTTTACTAGCGTGGCCTGTAAAGACTGGCGTTAATAAAAACACTTGTGCACAAAGTTGTTTTTGCAAGAGGTAGAAGTGTTATGTGAAAATCTCGTCATAGGTAATGGAAACATAACACTATTTATTGGTTAATTTCTAGTGAAGTTATTGGAGTTGATCATTTAGATCAAATGATAAAAAATATGGAGCCACCTAGAAATTAATTAAAGTATAGAAAGGAATGGACACGTGACCTAGGACAAATCATCATGGCGGTAACTCTACCTAAGTAGGATTGGCTGACCCAACCTCTAGGTTCAAGGAGCAAACAAACTTGTGAATGATGGTCCAACATTTTCAAATTATTCAAAGTCCATTATCATGATGAGACAATATCCAAAATAAGGGCAAACCTAAATATGAAAGGTTTTTAATGGTTTCTAAGTTTGACACGTGGTGTGATCAAATAGTGGATTTTAGGAATGCACGTTTAGAAATCACCTATGTGAGTGTGAAGTGGAGCTACTTCAAGGAGAATAAAAGAAGGCCATCTTTCTAAACATTCATGAGACCAGGCGGTATTCATGACTAAAACAAACACAACAATGAGAGCCAGTGAACGGATAAGAGTTAGTTGTGTGACATATGTTGTCTTAGTATACAAGCAAAATCGACGATTCAAAGATAATAGATCTACCGATTGATGAGTATACTCTATATATGTTCACTAAGGAAGGTTCAAAGGGAAACCTACCAATCCCCATGCAACTAATTCTTAGTCGAAAATCACATAGTTTTTTTTTTTTGCATAGTTTTTAAAGTACAACATTCTCCATTTATGTGGGAGATTGTTGGGATTTTGAATGGTGTGAATGAGAATGAAAGGAAAAAGATCCAAGAGAATCTCTTGAAGTACCACGTTAGTAATATGTGAGAAGGTGTGGTCTTGAATTTGGTAATCGATTAAATTGATGAAATATGTTGGTAATCGGTTAAATTGGTTCAGTAGCCAACCGGGTCAAACCGAACTAAGTGAACCAAATTAAAACGAATTGATTTGGCTTTTGAAATAACCAAACCGGTCCAACTACCATAGACTGAATCGATGCAATGGTTGAGAAATTTCAAACGAACCATTGTAATGGTTGGGGTGAAACCACCTATAAGAATAATTGCCTCCCTTCATATAAACCCCTTCATTCTCTATAAATACCACCTAACCCCTCTTGTTTTTATATGTTTTCCCTAACAAAAACTCTGCACAAATCAAAATTGATTTTTATGCATTGTTTTCAAAAGAGAAAATCGAGTCAAGTGCGGTTCTCGCTGCTTCGCTGCATTCGATGGTTTCCGGGGTTTGAGGTACCGCTACGCCGGAAAGGTATGTCCTTTCTATCCTGGGAGGAATCATTCTGTAACCTTGGGGACTAGAGGGGAATAAGATTCCTTAAGGAGAGACATTGAATTATGTTGGTTATGACGTTTGCATATGTCTTTGCATGTTTTTACGATCTTATATGTTTACTTGTTTTGCAAGATTTAGTATACATGAACAATTTCCACAACACCTCTAGTCAAGTTCTACGGTTGGTTGATTCTGATGAAAAACCGGCAATGCCCTTCTTATACTCTGAAATTATCCAAGCGAAGGAGAAGATTAAAAGCAACTTCAACAATGTGGAAAGAAGGTAATTCTGAGTTTCATTTGCCTGTTAACTTATCATACACGCCTATGTTTTTTATTGTTCTAACTTCTAACTTGTGTATTGTATATACTTTATATAGATATAAGCCTGTCTTGAAGATCATTGACAAAAGGTGGGAAGATCAAATGAGTAGACCAATTCACCATGATGCATATTGGTTGAATCCTCAAACTCACAATTCTTAGGGATTTGAGCATAATGATCCAAAGGTGAAAATGGGATTGTATGAATGCATATCTAGACTTGCGAATGATGATGAAGAGAAATTTTTGATAATGGAGCAATTGTCTGTATTTCGTCATGCTCAAGGAAGGAATGATAAGTATGGGGCAAGACAATTAAAGGATAGTCAACATCTAGCTGATTGGTGGACCTCATTTGGAGATGAAGTGCCATAGCTTCAAAAATTTGCCCTCTGGGTGTTGAGTCTGACTTGTAGTGCTTCTGGGTGCGAGTGTAGAGTGCATTTGAGAGGGTAAGTAATAAATTGCCTCTACTTTCTTTTAATCATATCATTCATCTTTTTACATGTGAACTCTTTTCCTTGTAGATTCATACTAAGAAAAATAACAATTTACATGCACCAAAGATGAATGATCTTGTGTATGTTATGTGCAACAACAAATTGGTGGGGGGGGGGGGGGAGTGGCAGGAAAGCAAGAATGCTTGAGATCAACTTTGAAGATATAACTCTGATAATGAATGGATTTGTGCTAGTGATAATGAAGAAGGAGAATTACAAGCTAGAGATTTAGAGGTTGGTAGCGAGGAAGGTGGTCATACTGTTGAAGGTGATGATAATATTGGTGTTGATGCTCCAAGAGATGAGGGTGACCATGAATATGATAGTCCACCTGATGTTGAAGGCAATGGTGGTGGTGATGATGATAATGATGATTTGGATGCAAATGTTGAAGCCGATGAATTGATGTAGTTTTCCTTCTATCCTTTATAACATTTGTGTGCTTTGATTTCAAGAACTCGGATTATTAAACTCGAATGTTATTATGTAAACTTAAACAAGCTTGTGATAATATGGATTCTTAACTCGTTTGTTAGTTACGATTCATGTTTATGAACTTATTGTTAAGATGTCATGAGTTTGTTCTAATTTAGACATGATTTGCAGGTATTTATTATTTTTATCTAAACTCAATGCACTCATATTTTACATAGTTTATGCCGTACTTAACAGATTGTTAACTATTACACAGGATGCATAAAAAATTTACGCTTTTACGTTTTAGTTCACCGCTTTTTGATTTTATTCCTTTTCCACTTTTAGGTAGAATCACGCTTTTAATTGCATTGATTTTGCCTATTAAAAAATGAGAAAAGTATATTTCGAGGGCTAAAATTGAAAAAAACAAATATAAATAAGCAAACGACGTCGTGTTGTTGGGAAGACGGGGCCGCCGCCTGGGCCTGGCAGGCTGGTGGCTTGGTGAGGAAGGCGGAGGGAGGGGAAGGGGATTAGGAAAAAACTGGAAAAGAGGAAGAAATCAGAAATCTCATTGAATGTGTTGATAGATAGATAACATCATAACACAATCACATATGCCCCTTCCTCGGTCTTCCTCCCCTTCCTCTCCTCTTATTTTCCCCTTTTCATCCCTCGGTTTCTCTCTCTATTTTCCCCTTCTATCAAACAATACTATACGACAGACTAACCCTAACTTCCCCCCTTTCGTGATGATTTGATCTGATCGGAGTAGATCTCTCTGGGTTCTAATACCGTCGTCAGGTGCGTTCTCTTACTCTCCGTCCCTTGTTTTCCTCCTTCGAAGAATGTTTCTTGGCTTGCTGAATTTTTCGCTTGTGATAATTGAAAATTTGAGGTCTGCTGATTGATAGTTTCTGAGCGGAGTGCGTTGTTGGTGTTGCGTTAGTGGATCAGCCGACATTTTGGATGTTTTTGCAGCTTCTCTCTTTTTTTTTTATGATTTTGTTTGGATGCCGTGAATTCCTCCGTGGAGGCAACTGGAGACGATTTTATTGGAAAGAGGATGTTCTTACCTTTCCCCAATTGCTCTTTGTTTGTTCCCTTGGATTTCCTCCCCTGCGTTAGAACCTGTTCTTTCTGATGCGCTGACATGCGAAATTGGAAGGTATCGGTAGTCTTAAGTTGCACCGATGGTGTTTTTATGAATGGAGATTGGAGTAATTGGTGGCCTTTCTCTACTTCTTGTTGTCAGAATGGGGTTATTATATGTTGTGAGTGAATTTGGAGTTTTGTACGTGTAATAGAAAGCCGACCCCATTGCTAGAATGGAGTTCCGTGCGCTAGTTTAATATTTGCGTTATCATTTGGCATTATTAGAAGGGTAACTTCACTTTTCTGTATCCTCGAGCTGCTTTGATGCCTACACTGGACTCCTGTCTTGTGGGTCTTTGGCGGATGAGTTGTGTGAAGTTGTGGTAATTGTTTTGGCAGTTTCTAATACGCCAGCAGGATAAGTTTTTGTAAATTAAGCACCAACTTCATAAAAGGAAAAACAAGAGAACATGAAGCGGATTGGGGGATGTATGGCAGCCATCTCTGTGTAGTGATGTTTTGATTTGTGTTCTCATTCATGGTCATTTGCAGCAGGCACTCTTTGGTCCCTTATTTCCTGTGATTTGCAGCAGAGGCAGAACACCTTGTCATTTACTGCCTAATGTCAATAATGCGTGTTTGATGCTTTTGTTTCATTGTTATAACTGATCTGAACTTTGTTTTTGCTGTGTTATCTGAACTCTGTTTGCTGCCTTTTTTGTCTTGATTAATTTATTCCAAATCTCATGACTAGATACTATATCACATTAGTTAAAGACCCTTCTTGGTAATGTTTCTGGATATTCTTCAGATTGAAGGCAATAGCAAGTGGCCCAATATAATTGATGGACAATGATTGTGCAGATGGATAAAATGTCTACTCCTCCTTCTCGGGATCGTGTTCAATGTCTGTATGACAAGGTAGACTTGTGGATATATTTGTGCATGCTGGTTTTTTTTGTTATAAATATTATTGGTTTGTTTATAAAGTGCTTTGCTTTCTTAGAACGTTGAGTTGGAGAACAAACGAAGGAGGTCAGCTCAGGCACGGGTTCCATCTGATCCCAATGCATGGCAACAAATGCGCGAGAACTATGAAGCTATAATTCTCGAAGATCATGGTTTTTCCGAGCAGCACAACATAAATATGTGTTGTGGCAATTACACTATAGGTGTATTGAGGAACTGAGAGCTCATTATAATGATGCCCTTAATGCTGCTGGCTCAGACTCATCTAAGGTTCTTGCCCGCCCTGATCGTGTCTCAAAGATACGGTTACAATTTAAAACATTTCTTTCTGAAGCAACTGGGTTTTATCATGACCTGATTTTGAAAATCAGAGCCAAGTATGGGCTTCCCCTGGGTTTCTTCTTAGATGGCACGGATGGCAGAGTTGTTATGGAGAAAGATGAGAAGAAATCTGCTGATATCAAGAAAAAATTGATTTCCTGCCACCGGTGTTTGATATACCTGGGTGATCTTGCGAGGTACAAAGGACTATATGGAGATGGAGATGCTAAAACACGCGAGTATGCTGCTGCTTCGAGTTACTACTTGCAGGCTGCATCTCTTTGGCCATCAAGTGGCAATCCACATCACCAGGTTGAATTTGGATATGACTAGTTTTTGTTTGATATGCTAGGTCTATTTTCGAGGCTATGATTTTGATGAACGTTGAATATTTTTTCAGCTTGCTATTGTGGCATCATATTCTGGTGATGAGCTGGGGGCAGTGTACCGTTACTTTAGGAGCCTGGCAGTTGATAATCCTTTTATGACAGCACGAGATAATCTGATTTTTGCTTTTGAGAAGGTATCTTCTTTTTCCTCTACTATGACAGCATGTTTCTAAGTTGTGCTGAAGTCTTGGATACACATGGCTTTAGAGAGTGTGCAGCTATTTGTTTGTGGCCTTTCTTGTGAGATGTAAGGGGGGTTAGTGCAGAATTACAAGATAACTGCACCTATTGTTATTGTTTTGAAGACATCGAGACACAGAAGCAGGACATGATCCTCCCTCCTCTTCTCGGGTGGGGGGAGCATGCTGTCGTTCAGGTTCATGAATGCTAGAACTATGAGTAACTTGTGGATTTTGATCTGGTTTTAGTGCTTTTGTGGTTTCAACCAACCTAGGTCATTTGTTGTGCTAATACAGTTACTAATTGAGTTTTGTTTTATGAATTGGTGAACTAGTGACGTATCTTGCAAGTTGAAATGATTCTCAAGTGCATCCATATTGAGCTTTTGAACATGCATGGATCATGTAAAGTCTTTAGGTCTTCGTTACAAGGGAGTTGAAGTGGGGTGGGGGGTTAGTTAAGTTGGGATTCATGCGATCCCTCGGGCCATTTGGTTGGAACTGTATCAATGGTAGATAAATTTTGTTTCATAACATCTGCATTCCCTCCTTCCCTGTCCTATTTGCTTGAATATTTGTTTTCTGTGTCTATTGCCAGAATCGTCAGAGTTGCTCTCAGTTGGTTGTGGAGGTCAAAGGTTCTATAGTTAAGGAGTCAGTAGTTCGGGGAAAAGGAAGAGGAAAGGGGGAGCCAAAAGGTGGATCTAAAATTCCATGTGTTGAAGCTGATGGTTCCAAGGAGAAGGAAACTGATGTTAATGAGATTCGTAAATTATTTTGCATTCGATTTATCCGTCTAAATGGCATTCTTTTCACCCGCACGAGGTAATTCATTTTTCACATTGTCAGTTACCATTCTTAGTTTGTATAGCTTTGCTAGTAAACTTAGTATATGATCCGCATGTGTAGCTTGGAGACATTTGCAGAACTTCTCGCATCAGTCAGCAGCACTTTCCTTGAGCTTCTATCCTCTATTCCGGAAGAGAAGTCAAATTTTGGAGCAGACACTGTTGATAATGGACTTTTTATTGTTCGATTAGTCTCTATCCTTGTATTCACTGTTCATAATGTTAAGAAAGAGGCTGAAGGTAAGAGCTATGCAGAGATTGTGCAGCGTACTGTTCTTCTTCAGAATGCATTTACTGCTGCTTTCGAGTTAATAGGACATGTATTGGAGAGGTGCGAGCAGCTTAATGATCCTTCTTCAAGTTACTTGTTACCTGGAATTCTGGTATTTGTGGAGTGGTTGGCCTGTTGCTTTGAGAAAATGGTTGCCATAAGGTCCAAATTTTGGAGGTGCTGTATAGCTTTCATGAACAAGATCTTGTTCTTTTTGCCAATATCCCTTGATGATAATGAAGACGATACGTGCTTCAATAACATGATCCGGTATGAAGATGGGGAATCTTGGAACATGCTTGCTTTATGGGAAGACTTAGAGTTGAGAGGGTTTTTGCCACTTGTCCCTGCACAATCCATTTTGGACTTCTCCAGGAAATACCCATTTGCAACTGACGGTTCTCAGGAAAGGATGGCTCGCATTAAGAGGGTTCTTGCTGCAGGGAAGGTGATGACTCGATATTTGCACATGTTTTCCCCTTTGTTTCTTGATCGTTTAAGCTTGCATTATCGCTTCTTTGGCATATTTTATGCTAGGTTGTGTTCCTTTGTCACATTTCAGGTCCTAGCATGTAAATTGAAGCATAGGCGCAAGTTTGAAGTCAATCGGAGATCATTCGGCAATGCGGGAGAAGAAACACGAGCATGACCTGAGGAATAATGGACTTCTACCTCATATTATGGACAAATAATCATGTAATTTTGTCATGAAAAGAAAGAAGACGAGATTACGAGCGTCTGGGATCAAACGGCGACTGATTCGGAGTCCGGACAAGGGAGAAACGAAGCATTAAACAGAGGCTGAGCAAGCCACACGGGCAAACCTAAAAACCCACACGGCCGTGTGACTTGGCCATGTGGCCGTGTGGGATTTACCGAGCACTCACACGGGCATCCTGGGGAGCCACACGGCCGTGTAGCTTGCCTGGTTTCCCATTAATCGAAACTCTGCGTTTTGGCACTCACACGGGCATCTGGGTAAGCCACACGGCCATGTGGCATGGCGTGTGAGTCGGGAAATTCTGGGTTTTAAGCCAAATTCGAGCCAAAGGAGAAAGAGAGCTGGGTTTGTGGTTCCCAAACACCCAAGGGACGAACCCTAAAGAGAGAGAGAGAGAGCGGCTTGGGAACATTCTTGGAGCTATTTTGGAGGATTTCTTCGCCATTGGAGCTCGGGAATCAAGCTTGGAGATGGAGATTGAAGATCTAGATCAGATTTCTGCAGTCTCTCTCTTCTCTATGGAGTAACTTCCCTTCACTTAGGTTTTGTGGAACCCTAGTTCCATGTGTTAGGATCTTTCTTGTATGAAGTTTTGGATGCTATATTGTTTGATTATAATCGATTGAGGCATGATTTATTGAGTCAATTGAATCTTGATCAAATTCTCTTGATTTCTGCTTTAACCTATGATAGATAGAATCTTATTAGGTTAAGAGAGCTTCCTTGATTGATAGTGGTGAATTGGTTGTGCGAGAGTCATTCAATTCACTGCTTTGTACTGGAATTCATTCCAGTAGTGGAGATCTGTGTGAATCGCCTTAGCAGTCTATCCCGGTGAAGGCTAGTCGCCTGTCGGGTATTATGTCTAAGAGGGCTTGGTCAGCTTAAGAGATTCCAAGCTAATTTAGTATCTTCCGTGTTGAATTTAAAGATTTCAATACATCAAGTCACGAGATTGTTTGGTCTGAATTAGAGAAATCAAGGGATTTGCAGCCGCAATCAAGGGGGAGCTGCTGCCTATGGAAAATCTCAAACCTTCCAAGTCTGGAGTGATTCGAAAAGCTTCAATCCAACGGCTATCTTGTTGACAACTATTTAAAGGAAGAACAGAGTTTGTTTATGTACTGGTTCTGGGATTCTTTGTGCAATAGGGCAAAGGGTTGGGGATTATCAGTGGCCTTGATCATTCTGAGGAATAGGTTCAGACGATCAAGGGTTGTGGCGAATTCCTGCGCGAATTCGGTTGTTGTTTATTCTGCTTTTGATTTTCACATTCGAGTCTGTATTTGGGTCTTTCTTTTTCATTATAGAGTCAAGAAAATCAAAAGTGTCTCTCGGAATAGTGTCTACTATTCCGGGACGAGGAGTAGCCCTGTGGCAAACCTCGTTAAAATCCTGCTGTGTCATTTACTTTCTGCTTTCCTTTTGTCTCTGCTTCCCCTGCTCATTCTTCCTCTGTTTTCTGCCGATTCTGGTTCAGCAAAGAGGAAGAAGATCACCCTCTGTTTCTCTATACTCTAGTTCGGGCTCGGGTTGAAATTAAGCCCACTCTTTGGTCATTCCGATCAGTGGGCTATTTCTTCACACGACCCATTTAAGCCCGATTCAAAACAGACGAAGTTGAAATGTTTCGTTCTGTTGAATTAAGCTCTGTCAAAATCCCTAAACCATCTCATCCATTATCTCTGCGCGAAGAGCTCTTCCACTTTTCACAAGTGGTATCAGAGCCTGGTTCTTGAAAGAGTTAACTACTGCCAAGACAGATCCTAAATCCATGGGATCCACTAGCTTCGGGCAAGCCTCTTACAACCATCCTCCTGTGTTCACCGGGTCAAACAACACAGCATGGAAGAAAAGAATGAAGACTTTCCTGTGGGGAGTAGACGAGGATCGCAAGACCGTCGTAAGAGATGGCACGATTGCTAAGGAGGATGCTGAGCAGAATACTTGGTCAGCAGCACAAAAGAAGAGCGCTCAGCTCAACCAGCGAGCCATGCACATCCTGCAATCAGCGATGGCACCAGACGAAGACGACAAAGTGGAGCACTGCGAATCCGCTCAGGAAATCTGGATCTCGCTCGAGAGCACGTACGAGGGGACATCGAACATCAGGGAAACCAGAATTGATCTTCTGTTTCACGAGTACGAGTGCTTCGAAATGGCTCCAGGTGAGGGAATTCATGAAATGTACTCTCGCTTTACTGTTCTCATAAACAAATTGAAAGGACTTGGGAAAACTTATCTTCTTAAAGACCTAAATAGAAAAATACTGAGATCTCTCCCTAAGCAATGGCTGCCAAAGAGAACAGCAATAGAAGAAGCTAGAAACCTAAACACTTTGCCTATAGATGAACTAATTGGGTCACTTCTTAGTCATGAACATGTTCTGAAGCAAGTTAATAAAGATGAGGAGAAACGAAAGAAAAGTCTAGCTTTTAGATCTCAAGTCGTCGAATATGATTCTGATACTGATTTAAGTGATGAATTTAATAGAGAATTTTCCCTGATAAGTAGTAAATTTCACAAAATGCTTAAATACAAACAAGAACAGAACAAAAGTCCTTTGATCGAAAAACCTCTTTTCGTGCTAATCCTTTTGACAAGGTCAAAAGCTCTTTTCAAGATAGGCTGCGTACTCCGCACACCAAACATGTTGAAACAGGAACTTTTGAAGCGCAGGACTGCTACAAATGTGGGAAACCAGGGCACATTCGTGCCAACTGTCCAATGACACTAAAGGCAAAGGAAAGAGCCATGAAAGCCACTTGGAGTGACTTTGAGTCTGACAATGAAGAGGAGGAAGAAGAAGAAAAAGCACTCATGGCCTTCACAAAACAGCCACTGAAAACTCAAGAATCTTGTCACATTCCTGAAGATTCACAATGGTATCTTGACAGTGGGTGTTCCCATCATATGTCGGGTAAGAACTATCTGTTCAATTCTCTAGTTATGAAACGTGGAGGTAAAGTCACTTTTGGAGATGATAGTCAAGGGACTATCATAGGCTCTGGTGACATAGGTAAAACACCTGGACCTGTCATAAAGAATGTATTACTTGTAGAAGGGTTAAAACATAACTTACTATCTATAAGTCAGTTATGTAGTAATGGCAATCGAGTGATTTTTGAGAATAATAAGTGCTCTGTGGAACAGGTCAATGAAAACAAAACTCTGTTCATTGGAAAAAGAGTAAATAATATGTATCTGGTAGATGTCTCTGACCTAAGCATGTTTAATGGTAAATGTCTCCAGGCCACATCAGTTTCACCTGAAGTGCTTTGGCACAAACGCCTTGGACATGTTAGTATGCCTAAATTAGCAGTACTGTCTAAACTGAGTCTAGCCAGAGGAATTCCCAAACTTAAAGAAAAGGCTGAATTTTTCTGTAATGCCTGTGCTGCAGGTAAACATAAGAAAAAAAGCTTTAAGTCTAAGCCAGACATTACTACTGCCAAAACTTTTGAGTTAATTCATATGGACTTGTTTGGACCTTGCAATGTCACTAGTCTGGGTGGTAAGAACTATGTTTTTGTCTTAGTAGATGACTATTCCAGGTTTACCTGGGTATATTTTCTAGCTACTAAAGATGAAACTTTTGAAAAATTTCAATCTTTTGTCACTATGCATCATCAATCTATAGAGGCAATTCGTAGTGACAATGGGGGAGAATTTATCTCTGATGACTTTGCTGAGCTGTGTGATAAAACAGGAATTAAACACACTTTTTATGCTCCTCGAACTCCTCAACAAAATGGAGTTTTAGAGCGTAAGAACAGAACTCTCATTGAGTGTGCTAGGACCATGCTGCTAGATTACAACCTGCCCAAGTTTTTCTGGGCTGAGTCAGTCAACACTGCTTGCTATATAATCAATCGAGTCTTAGTTCGAAAGCAGTTAAATAAAACCCCTTATGAAATTTTAAAATGAAAAGCTCCTAAAATCTCTCACTTTCATCCTTTTGGATGTCCTTGCTATACTCCAAATACTCGAGATTCGCTTGGAAAATTTGATGCTAAATCTGATCCAGCAACATTCCTTGGGTATTCAACTAAAGGACAAGCCTATAGGGTGTTTAACAAGAGAACTAGGAAGGTAGAAGAATCAGTTCATGTTGTTTTCAATGAAACTGATCTAGTTGTCCCAAATACTACTATGCTAGTTGACTTAAGTGAACTAACTACTAGCCAAGATTCTTCTTGTGAACAGATTACAGATATGCAGAAATCATCTACTCAAGAATCCATAAATCAAGAAGTTGAAGCACTGGATAAGTCTACTGAAGAACCAAAGGCTCCACCACACATTCAGAGAAGACATCCAGAGAGTCAAGTCATTGGAAAATTGAGTGATGGACTGCAAACTCGAGGCAAGTACACTCCTGGGCAGTATGCCTTTGTCTCTCAACTAGAACCTAAGAATGTTAAGGAAGCCTTAAATGATGAAGAATGGAGTATTGCTATGATAGAGGAACTCACTCAATTTGAATACCTGCATGTTTGGGACCTTTTTCCTCGTCCACCTAATGTTATTGTCATAGGAACTAAGTGGGTTTTTAGAAACAAGTCTGATGAATTAGGGTTCATAATAAGAAACAAAGCTAGGTTGGTGGCACAGGGGTATCTTCAAGAAGAAGGCATCGATTTTGATGAATCCTTCGCCCTAGTAGCTAGAATAGAGTCTATAAGATTACTATGTGCTTTTGCTAGTCACATGGGATTCCCTTTATATCAAATGGATGTGAAGAGCGACTTCTTGAATGGTATCATCCAAGAAGAAGTGTACGTATCTCAACCTCCAGGTTTTGTTAATTTTGAGCATGCAGATCACGTTTATAAACTAAACAAAGCTTTGTATGGCCTCAAGCAAGCACCTAGGGCTTGGTTTGAACGTCTTACAACTTTCTTACTGGAAAATTCTTTTACTCAAGGAGGAACATATAAAACTCTTTTTATAAAGCATGAAAATGGTAGAATTCTTCTTGTGCAAGTTTATGTGGACGATATAGTTTTTGGATCCACTGATCCCTCTCTTTGCACCGACTTCTGTAACACCATGCATTCCGTTTTTGAAATGAGCATGATGGGGGAACTTAAATTTTTCCTTGGTCTCCAAGTTAAACAAACTTCCTCTGGAATATTCATTAATCAGTCAAAATATCTTCAGAATATGCTAAGTAAATTTGATCTCAATAACGTTAAACCCAGTCCCCCTCCCATGGCAGTCAACCTTAAATTAGATCGAGATGAATCAGGTGTTTTGATAGATGAAAAGAAGTATAGAGGCATGATTGGTTCACTGCTCTATCTCACTGCCAGTAGACCAGATATACAGTATAGTGTCTGTATTTGTTCTCGGTTTCAGTCAGCCCCAAAAGAAAGTCATCTTTCAGCCGTGAAAAGGATTTTTAGGTATTTAAAAGGAACTCCTGAAATAGGTTTATGGTATCCTAAACATAATAACTTCTACCTAATAGGCTACAGTGATTCAGACTTTGCTGGTAGATTAACAGATATGAAAAGTACGACTGGTACCTGTCAATTTGTAGGAACCTCCCTAGTTTCCTGGTCGTGTAAGAAGCAAGGAGCCGTTGCCCTATCTACTGCTGAGGCAGAATATATTGCTGCAGGGAGTTGCTGCACCTGCACTCAGCTCATATGGCTTAAAAATCAACTTAAGGACTATAATGTAATGATTAATTCAATACCTCTCCTGTGTGATAATACTAGCGCCATATGTATGTCTAAGAATCCTGTGCAGCATTCAAGAACTAAACATATTGAAGTAAAGTATCACTTCATTAGACATTTAGTTCAGCAAAATGCTATAATTATTAATCATATTCCTACAGAGTACCAATTAGCAGATTTATTCACTAAAGCCTTAAATGCTGATCGATTTACCTTCCTTTGTTATGAGATAGGGCTGCGATCTCCAGATAATCTGGAAGATCTTACTT